ATCTTTTGCTATAAGTGATAATATTATTTTGGATTATTTTGTTAAAATTGCTCTCTTTAATTTCTTAAAGTAACTCCATCGCATGTACGTTTCACATCATCATTGTTACTTGATAATGATTCCAAGTCATGAGCTTGCTGGATATTTTAGCTTGACCCTATTCCTTCTCTTAAAAATCCAGGCACTGTACTTTTCAGTAGTTCAATAATCTTCCAAATGTAATTTTTTTCCTAGAGCATTTATCTCTTCTCCACATAGCATCCTTCCAATTCTTATTTTGAAATGCCTCAAATAGAGTTTGTGATATTGTTATTGAATTAGAGTTGATATTTGTATAGAAGGTTTCATAGCAGGATAAATATTTTGAAAAAATGTGTACTAAAAGATGGGAAACATAAGAGAACATGTAGTGATGAGCTGATCATTGTTACTTGATAATGATTCCAAGTCATGAGCTTGCTGGATATTTTAGCTTGAGCCTATTCCTTCTCATAAAAACTTAAATGGGTACAGTGCCTGGATTTTTTTAAAATTTATGGCCATAGAAATATTAAGTTAAAATATAGAGGTTTTATCAAATTTATCTTACAGTAGAGAATTTTTCTCCCAAAGGTGAGTTTAATTGAAAAAAATATTGTTTTTCATCGAAGATGATATCTTTTAAATTGATAATTTTTTTAGTGGTCGGATGATAACACTAATACCTTTTTTTAATAAAGAAATACTCAATAAAGAAACATTTGAGAGCTCGAAGATTAAATTTATCCCTATATTGCTTTTGGATGTGGACATAGGCAATATAACCAAAGATTTTTAAAAGATTTTTTAGGAAAAGTTATTTTGTAGAGAAAGTATTCAGCAAGATAATATATAGAACTTTTGAATCCAATCACTCATTAGGGTATTCTATTGATATATATGGAAGTTAAGATTGCATCTTCCAAATATCTTTTTGACACTAGATTCTAGAAGAAAAGTTTTGACAACTTTCAAAATATTGCAATTTTTCATTTCTACTACATTTTATTGAAGAGAGTTAGAACCAGAAGATTGATGGATAATACCTTCTTTCTAGAACAAAAATGATAACTTTTGATTAAAGTAATGGTGAGCATTATTACTTCGAATAACCTTGATATTAACATTAATTACTTTTGTATCATGACAGAAAAAAAATGAGAGAATAATACTGGCATAACATTCTTGTCTAATAAAATATATCATTGTTAACAACAAATAAAGGTGGTAAGACTATATTAGATTTTTCTTTGGCTTATGATTTTTTAATATCTAATACCTTATTTAAGAAAAGATATGAGCATCTTATCACTTATAAAAATGTATATAGTAAAACGCATATTGATTATTTTCTTATAAGAAAATTAGAACAATAAGATTGCAAAGATTGTAAAGTTATTCCGAGTGAAAATTTATGTACCCAACATCGATTATTAGTTTTAGACTTTAAGATAAAAGAGCAAAAAATAAAAATAAAAAGAAACAATTTTCTAGGATTAGATGGGGGCATTTAAAGAAAATTAACAAAAGTATTTTTGAGAGTAAGATTTTAAATCTTAAGATTCTGTCGGAGTATGAATGCTAATATTATGCGGAAAAAAAAGTGGCTAGTGATATTAAGAATATTACAATGCTTGAAATTTCAAAGGGAAAAGTTTCTAATAGTACAAATAGTTGGTGGTGAAATTCAAATGTGCAAAAAAAGATAAAAAATAAGAAATTTTGTTATAAAAATTGGTTTAGATATAAAAATTCTAATAATTGGGAAAGCTATAAAAAGGCTCGTAAGGAATCTAATAAAGTTATATGCGATGCAAAGAGCTTAGCTTTTAATAATTTATATAATAGATTAGATACTAAGGAGAGAGAAAAATATATATAAGTTAGCCAAACAAAGAGGTAGGAGAAGGATTTAGTTCAAGTGAAGTGTATTAAGGATGGATATCAAAAAGTAATTTTCTTAGAAGATGATATTCAACAAAGATGGATGAGATATTTTGCTAAACTTTTTAATAAAAAATGTGAAAATATGATGACTTTAGTGACTTTATCACCCTAAATGAAAATAATTTTTTTGTTTTTATCGATATATAAGTAAAACCGAGGTTAGAGAGGATTTGAAGAAAATGAAGTGCGGAAAAGCTTTTGGACCTTATGATATTCCAATAGAAATATGAAAATGCTTAGGAGATGAAGGAATTTCTTGTCTTACTAAACTTTTTAATATTGTTTTGAAGACTAAAAAGATGTCGGATCAGTGGAGAATGAGTATGTTAATTCCTATTTTTAAGAATAAAGGTGATGCACATGAGTGTGCAATTTATAGGTGAATTAAGTTAATGTGTCATACTTCAAAATATTGGGAGCGAGTTATGAAGCGTAGGTTGCAGCGTGATACTAATGTTGCTCAAAATCAATTTAGATTCATGCCGGGTAGGCCTCCTATGGAAGCCATACATTTATTGAGAGGTTTGATGTAGAAATATAGAGAGAATAAGAAGGATCTACATATGATATTTATTGATTTAGAGAAAGCATATGATAAAGTTCCAAGAGAAGTGCTATGGAGAGTTCTTGAAAAGAAAGGAGTTAATAACGCTTATATTCAAATCATTAAAGATGCGTATGTAGGAGCTATTACTTGTGTTCAAACACAAGGTGGTTAGACCAAGTATTTTCCTATTTCGGTTGGTTTACATCAAGGATCAGCCTTAAGTCCATATCTTTTTGCTTTAGTCATGGATGTTCTCACTAGATATTTGCAAGAGGATGTACCTTGGTGTATGTTTTTTGCTGATGATATTTTTCTTGTTGATAAAATTAGAGAGGGAGTTGAAGGTAAACTTGAATTATGGAGGTCAACCATAAAGTCTAAAGGTTTTCGCTTGAGTAGATCTAAAACTGAATATATTGAGTGTAATTTTGGTAGCAATAGACCTAGTGCGGGGATTGTGACTTTGGGCGATCAAGTCATTAATAATAGTACACGTTTTAGATATCTTGGATCTATCGTTCAAAGTGATGGTGAAATAGATGGGGATATTATCAGCAGAATTCAAGCTGGATGGTTGAAGTGGAGGAATGCATCGGGCTTGTTGTGCGATAGAAAAGTCCTCCTCAAACTTAAGGGAAAATTCTATAAGATGGTGGTGAGACCTCCAATGATTTATGGTGCCGAACGTTGGTCATTAAAAGAACAACAATAACATCATCAAGCCTTTATCCCACTATGTGTGGTCGGCTAATTTTTTTCTTAAAGGATTCATGTCATTATTATTCGACAAGTTTTACGCTGACTATCGACTACCTAACGCAATCCTCCACTTTTCTCATCCAGGACTTGGGACCTGGCAACGGCAATGTTAATACTAAGTTAGGTGTTGCAGAGATGAGGATGCTTAGGTGGATGAGTGGCTTAGGTGAATGAGTGGTTTTAAGGAAAGAGTCTGTAATATTAAGTCTCTTATATTTGGGTTTGGTTGTTACTATGACAGATGTTTTGAAAATCAAACGTCGAGCATTATATCGTCCTTCTTCCTTCTTCGACTCATATGAGAGAAAAAGCCTCTTAGACAAGAACGCGATTGAATTCATTATTGAATTATGCAAGGAACTTAAACACTCTTTCTCTTTCTATAAATTGCTGAAGAATTACCACGTCTTCTTGAGATATGGGTAATCATCCAGGTCAAGCACTAAACATTCATTTGAAGTACTCAATAACATGGTGGTTACCATGCTTAGTTATTGAAATAAATTTTGAGCTCGTAAATGAGGATAGCACACTTCACTTTTGAGTACATTTGTTTGACGATGTCCTAAACTTTTTGTAGTAGAGACAAATATATATAGCCCACTGATTTCAAACATCATGGTACTCCACAATCATGTCATAATCATAGAATCCGCTTTATCCTAAAGTACAATTTTTTGGTCTTACGGTTGCGAAGGAGGATCCAAAAGATGGTGGATCTTTCCCTTTTCTTTCAAAAAATCAATACAATTTGTGATCGTTTTAAATTATTTCTCCCATTCAAAAAAGCCCCCACGCGAAGCTAGTAGCTAGAATACAGAAAATAGGCACATGAATTACAATATAAGGGCCATAAGTAGGAGTGCTAATGAATGACCAAACCCGAATTGAAAATTTCTAATTTGGGTTGACATGATTAATTTTCAGTTCAAGCTGAAAACCTGACCAAATTAATTTTCAGATCGAGTTCGAGTGGACCTAAAAAATCTAAAAATGATCTGATTATCATTCGGGTTCAAGCTAAATAGGACATTTTTAGGTTAAATGAGTCATGTTTGAGTTAATCTAGTTTGGGACGAGTCGAATTTGAGTCAAACATTTAGAACAATATGATGAACGAACTAGTTTCAGGTCAAGCATATTCAAGTCGATTAATTTCAAGTTATACATAAATCTATCCCACTAGCCTGAATTAACAGTTATAGCCATAAGATTATTAATCCAATGATTAGAATCCTTAATCCGTGTGCTCAAGGACCCCTATCAAGATTGACTAACTTGTGGGTCCCACAATTCTTCAACAAAATTATATTATTAATATCTATTATCACATGACTCATCTAAAGTTAAATTGTATTATTATTTTTATCCTTAAAAGGAGTGTCAAATGTGTGTCCATTATACTATACGACTCTTTATTTAAACTAAACAAATGTGAGTCATATGACATATCAGGAGAATAAGAAAATTTGGTGAAACATCATATAACAATATTTTATCCCTATAGAACTCCTTTTCACATGTTTTCATGTTTCATGGTGAACACCCTCTCCAATATAAGCAAAGCACGCTCTCCAACATAAACGCAATCATGCAATATAGGCGCATAACAGAAAGCAAGATAAAGCAAATTAATTGCCTCATAACCAGTCTAGCACCAACCATAATTCTATAAACTATTGTCCAACATGTAATTAGCAATAAAGCAACAATTAGATGACGTTTTAACCTCACAGTGAAGCAACATCCTTTCATCAAAACCCACGGCTGTACTTGACTTGCAAGATGTACCTGCAAATGCCAAATTAATCTTAGCAATACCATGAGATCATTTTCTTCAAATCATGAACAGTTTTGCAAGATAAAAAATTCGAAGAAAAAAGCAATAGAAATAAAATATAAGCCTACATTCTGAAGTAACAAGACACTTTAATTCTCAGACGGACACCACTTTCTAATCCTTAAAAAGGACATAAAACAACAAAAACATCATCAGCCTTGTCTATAAACTAACAAAGAAGAGAGACCGTTGTGGTAAATTTCTAATGCTAAAGGCAAATATTTTCTATTTTTCAGCAGAAAGTACCTAAAATATGCTTATAAGGCATCATTTTCTGCACTATGAGATGGAAATCTTCATGATTATCCTTGTTGAAAGCATCACACTAAGTAATGATTTTATCTACGCATAACTTCTTTCTTTTCTTAGTTGGTTCATTTATTTTGTTATTATAATTAAAACATGCCAATGATGCTTGCTGATAGAGAGCTAAATTTTATTTCATAACTTTAGATTTGTTCACAGAGTTTGGCATAGTTTCAATTTAGTTCAGTTTAGATAAATTTTCATAATGTGTTATCATGATTTGAAGAACAAAAGGCGGACAGATGTTGGTTTTGGCTTGATGTTAGGTGTATGTCGGCTGGTGTTCGGAGTTTTGGACGGGTGGTTTGTTTATGGAAGTGAAAATTGGAGTCTGGTTTGGGAGGTGGTTGTTGGCTTTGCCATTGACTTTGGGCAGTGAATCTTCGCTTTATATGACCATTCTAAATGTCATTCCAAATGTAGATTCCTTTTCCTTTGGACGGTGTTGTTGACTTTATCTATTTGGAGTTGTGTATTGGCATTTTTTTCACCTTTTTATACGACCGTTTATATCTCAGTGGCCTATAGAGTCCTGCAAAATTGTGTTCTTTAATATCATCAATTGGGATGTTGGGTTTTGAAGTTTGTGCATTGACATTTATGGGATCAGTTGGGACTTCAAAAGAAAATTCTGAACTAGTTCTTATGTTTTGGAATTTTAATTTAGACAGTACAAAGCTGAATCTTATGACAATCATATCTACTAGCATAAGGATTGACAAGTTCATAAATAGATGCTTTGAGATACATAATTGAGGAATCTATTCTCAATCTTAACCTTGTGAATGCAAGTTAAATGCGTGATTCATTCAAGTGCATAACCAATGGACCACCTAATTTTGGGAGAAGTCGTCTCCATTTACTGTCCTAAGGCCTAATTTTTCTTATTTCAATATATTTGTTTATTATTCCGACTTCATCTGCAAAATTTGATATTGCTTAGTGCTCTTGATTTTGCACCAATGTCTAAAATAGAGCAAGCACAATTCTGACCAAAAATGTCTTGAGATGCATGCCTTAAGCTTATCTTGTAAGGTGTACACACCTCACCAATTTTATTTTTTAAATAAAAGCTTAAACCTAAATCCCTTAACCTTTCCTCTTCTACATTTCTTCGTTGTTGTTCGGCTTTGCCTACTTCACGTAAGGTAGAGCTTTGAACAAGTCGCTTCTTTTCCATTTCTTCGTTGTTGTTTGACATCGCCTACATCACGTGAGAAAGAGTTTTGAACGCTAGCTTCTCCATTTCTTGTTTTTGTTTGATGTCACCTGCTTCTCTGCCACACTCATGAAGAAAGGCTTGGATGACAAAAACCCTTTAATTTGTGAAAATACAGTATCATATGATTAGTGATTTGTAGATTATGAAGTGGAGGTAACACCATTTGAATGACAAGAATATTTGAATGTTGATTTCTTTGACGTGAAAGAAATATGTCATCTGTATCCATCACAACATAACTACAAAAACAACTAAAGAGAAATGCATATAAAAAGAATTTTATTTTAAAAGCTCCTTTAATTTGGGGTATTACTCACCTTTATGTTGATGAAAAAGGTGAAATGTTTAAAGGAAGAGGAAGATGACTGAAATAGATGAAGAAGAAGATTGAGAGGCATTGAACTCCACAGATGATGAGGCAGAGGAGCGAGTAATTCATTATGACGATAACTCAAAGAAATACCCAATCAGTGATGCATGACTTATGAGTTGTTGTCTATTATTATTGTTTTATTTAGGAATGAAATGTGTATGAGTATGGAACTAGGAAAAAAGGAATTTCAAGTTGAACTTAATGACTTAGTGTTATATTATACTTTTATGCAGTTTCTATATTTTACGTTGTTTGATTATTGAGATGTTTGGATTTTAATTCTATTTAATGCAATTTATCACTCGTCATTTATGTATTGTGCAATTTTTTATTTTATATGTATGTTAATATATTATTTCATAATTCAATAAAAAATTAAAATGTTATTCTTTTACCTATTATTTGGTTAAGATACAAAAAGCCCACTTTTAACCTTCATTTTCACTATACTCAATTTTTTTTTTTTATTTTGAGCTTACAATCACGGGGTAAACTTTTCCTTAGTTACCCGTGCAGCCTTAGCACACCTTCCTATATGCTAAGCAGCCTTAAATCCCTACAAGGCTTGGCTAGAAAGAGAGAAATTGAATGAGAAAGCTTTATTATTACAAGGGAAGTTATACAAGAGGAGAATTGGAGGGGTATGAGGAGATATATGGTGTCTCGACAAGAGAAATCCTTAATGGACAAGGCACAGGTGCATGGAGAGCTCGAGAGGGAGCTCAGTGGACGCTAACTCGAGTTAGAGACCTACATGAGGATTGTAGGCATATCTTGGCAGAGACATCCACCAGCCACAGTTGCTCTAGGCAAGAATTCAATGCGTCGGGGCAAGGGCAATAAGAGAGGCAAATGATTCGAGGCAAGGAGGAGGCTTGCCAGGACATTGTGGGGGCAATGGAAAATGGGATGAGCATGCCAAGGATTGCCAAAGAGAGGAGAAGGAGTTTAAATGTATGCTTTGCTTGTAGAGGACCTCATTGGGCAAGACATTGTCCTAAGATAGCCTAAATGCTCCAGGCCAAGTGTCAAGGGGTGACGAATGGCAAGGTTGGTGATCAAGTGGAGGCTACAAAGGTGCGGCAAGAACAAGGACAAGAGGGAGAACTCCAAAGGCGAGAACTTGCAAGTCTTGGAAGATATCCCAAGGGAAGGGGATGCCATCTAGCTCATGGGGTTGAGTTAGATGCAGACGATGAAGGCTTTGCCAACAATGATGATAGAAGTAATTGAAGAGCCTTCAGATGTCTTGCTAGAGGAACAGCCTGGGGAAGCGCCAAGACAGCAGGGGAAGGGGAGATCCCAAGTCCTTAAGGCACCAGCGAAGAACGAGGAAGCTAACCCAAGGTTCCAAGTACTTGATGCTAAAGTAGGCAATAAGGAATCCTATTCGGGAGAAAAGGAGGACCGAGGGAGCGGAATGAGCCTATGGCAATCCAAGGACCTGCGACATGGATTATAGAAGGCTCGTGATGAGGGCATCGCAAGAATAGGTGGGGGAGAGTGTCACGCCCAAATGTTGGCACAAGAGGTTTGGAAAAACTCCTTGAGCGTAACATGCGGAGCAGAGGTTAAGAAGTCCTCCATAACCATTCCTAAATGAGGTTATATGACATTGAAAGGTTATGGAAGATTATGGACAGTTCTAGAAGATTCTAAAAGATTCTGGAAGGTCCTGGAAGTTTATAAAAAGGCCTAGAGTTTCATAGAAGATTCTAGAGTATTCTATAATGTTCTAGAATAATGTGGATACTTAGAGAGTATTCTAGGATGCTCTAGAACTCTCAAGAATGTTATAGAGTTATGTAAGAGTATAGGGAATAATGTGAAGTGTTCTAGAGAACTCCACACTCATAAATAATGAAGGGAGTTCTAAATTGTTCCCAGGCATGCAATGAGAGCTATAAATAGGACCTCCCCTGATGCGGACATCCAACCGTCCATGGCTATCCGAGGAGCTGAAGATCAACGGCTGTCATCATCCCACGTTATCTTATATTTTATTTGTAATTTTTAAATTTTTATTATAAATTTTTCGTTTTTACCCTCACTTACGAGGGCCGTCCTATGTAAGCCTTAGGGGCATATGTGTCTTGTTTTAGTTTCTTAGGCCTATATATAGAGGCCCTTTCTTGTGTAATGGGAGGAGGAATTGTTAATGAAATTTTATTCTACTTGTTTGATCTCTTAGTGAGTTCATGAGAGGAGAAGGCATCTTTCTTTCAAAATCTGAATTTTAATTTAGATTTTATTAAATCTTTGATTAGTAATGTGGGCCCCACTCTACTTATGACAAATAATCTCCTCCCTCTCTCTATGTGGCCGGCTCCCTCATTGGGCATAATCTCTCTCCTATCTCATTAATAGCCCCCCTCATTAAGCCTCCCTAATTACCTTCCACAATTCCCTCTCATCCAATTTAATTCTCCCATTAAATTTGAATTTAAATTCAAATTCATCCCGCCAATTCCACTTAATCTAATATTTAATTTTAGATTTCCATTCTCTCTCCCCAAATTGATTTGTGATTTAAGTAATCTTGCCACCTAGGCAAGTAAATGGCATTTACGTTTTACATCATCCCCCTTCATTTGTAACAAACTCCTCCAACTCCCCAAATCTCCCAAATATCTCAAAATCCCTCCAACCCTTCTTATACAAGTTCTCTTGTAATAGTGAAGTTTTCCCCATTCGCTCTCTCTAGCATTCTTTGCTCCCTAATAGAGAGCTTAAGACTGACTTAACATAAGGCAGGAGTGCTTAGGCCGCACGAGTAACTAAGGTAAGGTTTTCCTCGTGACATTACGCTTTGCCTAACTTATGAAAAACGCCTCAATACTCAATTGTGCAATTTTAAACCTTATTTTGCACAAATTTGGCACAACAAAACTTCAATTTGCACAAATTAAATTACAATTGCATTTATATGATGAGTTGGGATAAGGAATAAGAATTTTGAACTAGTTCTTATCTTTTAGAATTTTATTTTAACTATTTTAAGATGAATCATATGCCAATCATATCTACTAGCCTGAGGATTAACGAGTTTA